ACAGTCCCTGCTCCTGGACCAGGACTCAGCTGGGACAGGGTCACCCTCTGCACTGTGGGTCCCCAGGTCTCGCTCCATCTCTGTATCCCACAAGTTCAGCCCAGCCCCGGTTCCCATCCCTCTGTTACGGTTGCCTCTCACCCTCCCCTGGAGATGTTCCCCTGCAGGACAAGGGCTTCCCCTGTCCATGGAGGGGGCAGAGGCATTGCAGGGCCCATGTGTCCCCACACAGCACCGTGTCCCTCGGTGCCAGGGCCGTGTTTGCTCGGGACAGGCTGTCACTGCTGCTGCCACTGCCACCTGCTGCCTTTCCCAGCCACTCCCTCTGCCTGTTTGCTGTGTCCCTGCGGAGACAGGACATCTCCCAGGCAGCGCCGACGTTCCCCTCCCTAGCCTAGGGCACAGCTGTGGTCCCCAGCTCAGTCCCAGCACTGGTTAACTGGTGGGACTGGGCATAACCTTGGCCACAGGAGATGGTGAGAGCTTGGCACTGCCCGTGTCCCATTTGTACCTAGACCAAGCTCCTGTCACTCAGGGGACACAGAAGGAAATGGGTGACAGTTAAATGCGGAGCAGGATGCTGGTTGTTACTGGGAGCAATGGGGCAGGAGGATTCAGGGTGGCACAAGGAGGAGAAGAATGCTGCCCACCCACTGCCTCCATCTCTGAGGCACGCCAAGGGTTTCCACCGGGAGAAGAGAGTGCCCAGGGCAGGCACCCAGGGGGCTCAGGGATTTGGGATTTGATTGAGGTTTGGGTGCTCAAAGGCTTTGGGAGCGTGGGGTTACTGTGCATTCACTGTTGTGCTGGCCAGCTGCAAGCCTGGGGTCTGCTCCAGGAGGGTGGGCTTGTAAGGACCAGAGCTGGGTTCATCCCAGTCTTGTAAGGGGCAGGGTTGGGTGAGTCCCAGGCTCAGAAGGCCATGCATCTGCCCAGTGGACACATCCAGGCTATGAGGAGGGTGCCGGGAGGAACCCACCCTGTGCCCAGCACAGACCTTGGGAACTGCTGATTTGGAGAAGAATGTTGGCTCTGGCAGCATGATGCAAGGCTCCTGCCCAGGTGTGGAGGTGTCCACATCTCACAACCACCAGTTGCCACCCACTGCCAGCACCTGCTTCCCTGCAACAGCTTCATAAAGCAGGAGCTGGTTTCCTGACTGCTTCATACCCCAGCACCCAGCCCAGCTCCCAGCCTCTGTAATCAGCTGGGACTCTGCATCCCCTTCCTGGGTCCCTCCATGGAACCAAGTTATTGTTGTGGTTGGAGAAGACCTTTGAGATCATTGAGCCCAATTGTTACCCCAGCACTGCCAAGGCCACCACTAAACCATGTCGCTCAGCACCACAGCTACATGGCTTTGAAACCCCTCCAGGGATGGGGACTCCACCACTGCCCTGGGCAGCCTGGGCCAGGGCCTGACAGCCCTTTCCAGGGAGAAATTGTTCCCAATATCCAATCTAAACCTATCCTGACACAACTTGAGGCTGTTTCCTCTTGTCCTGTCTCTTGTTTTTTGGGAGAAGAGACATCCCCCCCGCCCCGGCTCCAACCTCCTTTCAGGCAGTTGCAGAGAGCAAGAAGGCCTCCCCTCAGCCTCCTTTTCTCCAGGCTGAACACCCCCAGTTCCCTCAGCTGCTCCTCATCACACTTGTGCTCCAGACCCTTCCCCAGCTCTGCTGCCCTTCTCTGGACACACTCCAGCCCCTCAATGTCCTTCTTGTCATGAGGGGCCCAAAACTGATCCCAGAATTTGAGGTGCAGCCTCACCAGTGCTGAGCACAGGGGGATGATCCCTGCCCTGGTCCTGCTGGCCACACTAGTGCTGATACAAGCCAGGATGCTGGTGGCCTTCTTGGCCTCCTGGGCACACTGCCTGCCCCAGATCCCTCCATCCCCTCCCTGGAGGGTTCAGTAACCCCCAGCACCCAGTGCCACCTCCCAGGGACCTCTCCTGGCTTTCCGAGTCCTTTCCCCCAACACCCTGTGATGTCCCCCCCCCCCTCATCCTCCCATCCCCAGCAGCTGCCCTGCTAATCCCTGCCATCCATTGCTCCCGACAGCTTGGGATTTGCTCCAGGCCAGAGGCCAACCCAGCCCTGCACCTGCTCCCTGGAGTCGTCGCCAGATCCACTCCTGCTCCTCTGTAGCCCTAAAAAGGAGACGACCCAGCCGCGTTCCCTGGGGACATGTCATAGCTTCTCCCTGGGGACACCCTTCTGTGCTCCCTGCCTCCCTGCCCAGAGCGCCCTGACTCTGCTTTTCCCTTGGGATCACCCCTCCTGGGACATCCCTTGGAGGAGCACCCACCTCACAGGGAGCTTTTGGGTTGGGGAATGGAGAGGAGCAGGGATGCTGAGCCCCTTCTGCAGGGAGAGAGCAGGATGGGAAGCTTTGGGACGTGTCACAGAGCCACCCATGCCGCTGCAGCAGGACCAGCAGAGCTGCTGTTGGACCTGGCAGCCACGTTTCTGGGATCCGACTCCTCCTCTCCAACATGTTTCCTTCCCACCGTGGACGAAGCCACAGATTCAAGTGGGGTTTGGGGATCTCCCCTCCTCCCCAAGGTCTTCTCCTCCCAGATTTCGTATCCCCGTGACCTTCCTGTCAGCCTCAGACGTGCCAGAGCTCAGGCAGCTCCTGCTAAAGCCGGGAACGGGAGGGCTGGCGGATTGACAGATGCTTGGACGCACGGCGAGAGCTCATAAACTCCATTCCCTGGAGAAACGGGGCTAAATATAGTGGCGGGCGCTGGGCAGGCAGGAGCAGGCAGGGGCAGGCAGGGCCGGGGCTGCCAGGCAGTGCTCCTGCCTTGGCAGCCTCCAATCCTATCCCCCACTGGCCGCTGGGGTGGGAATGGGGAGGTTGTGGCTGGTGGGAAGGGGATGGAGGTGCCTGGCAGGGACAGGCAGAGGCGCAGGGCGAGGGGTCGGTGGCTGTCCCCAGGACAGTGGGATGTCACTGGTTTGGGAATGCGCCATCCAACTTTGCTGTGGGATCCACGGATAGGCAGGTGGTGAGGTGTCCTGCTGTCCCCTCTGCTGCTGGGGAGGGGACAGCAGGCAACAGCCCCCTTTGCCATCAGTGAGAGAAGGGGCAGGCTAGCATGGGCACCGCTGAGGGCAGCGATGCTTGGGTGGTGCTCTAGCCATGCTCTCTGGTGATGATCTCCAGTGATCCAGTGGCCTTCCAGTACCTGAAGGTGCTCCAGAAAAGCTGGGGAAGGACTTCTGACAAGGGCAGGGAGTGATGGGATGAGGGGGAATGGTTTCAAGCTGCAAGAGGGGAGACTGTGATGAGATCTTAGGCAGAAATTCTTTGCTGTGAGGGTGGTGAAACACTGGCCCAGGTTGCCCAGAGCAGCTGTGGCTGCCCCATCCCTGGCAGTGTTGAAGGGCAGGTTGGATGGGGCTTGGAGCAACCTGATCTGGTGGCACGTGTCCCTGCCCAAGGGATGGGGTTGGAACTAGATGAGCTCAAAGGTCCCTTCCAACCCTAACCAGTCTGGGATTCCACGATGATTCCATGATGCTCTGGTGACGCTCTTTGGTGAAGCTCTCTGGTGATGTTCTATCCTTGTTTTCTCCTCACTCCAGCTTAATCCTTGTCCCCTCAGGGCCATGGCATGGTTTTCAGTGAGGGAGCCCACCTCCGTCAGCCAGGATCCAACAGAGCCCCCGCTGGTCCCACAGGCTCAGGGCTGCAGTGGGTGCTGGGCTGGGGTTAATGGCCAGGATAGGCCTTGGGGACATGGGTGCTGTGGGGGGTGAGGGAGTGCCAGCACCCCCAGCCCTGACTTGGCCCCTCTGGAGGTCCATGGGAAGTGTTTGGCTCTGGGGAAAAGCCCTTGGCTGCCCTCAGCCTCCTTCTCAGCTGGTGTGCTGGTGGGGAAAAAAGGGGAAAAAGGGAAAAGGGCAAGGGGAAAGGAGAAAAAAGGGAAGGGGAAAGGGTAAATGGAAAGGGGGAAAAGGGGGGAAAAGGGAAAAGGAAAAAGGAAAGGAAAACAGAAAGGGAAAGAGGAAGGGAAAGGGAATGGGAAAAAATAAAGAGAAAGCAAATGGAGGAAAAGGGAAAAAGAAATTAAGGGAATGGGAGAGGGAAAGGGAAAAAGAAAAGGGGAAGAGGAAGGACAAGGAGTAAAAGGAGAAAGGAAAGGTGCAGAAACAGGTGAAGGGCAGGGGATGGAGAGCAGTGGGTGCCCAGTGGGGAGGGCAGCTCTGGCAGCCCAGGCCCTGCATGGCTTCCGGGGTAGCTTGGCTTGGCCCCCCACATCCCACAGGATCAGGAACCTGGGGCCCATCAGGGAGGAATAATCTACCAGAATCAGGCCAATCCATGCAGGTTTCCTGCAGGCAGGAGATTAATTAAAACCCGGATGGGCCCCTGGGCTGGACACAGATGTTCCCCCATTTCCCATGGCTGCCCCTGGACTGTGGGCAATGGAACATGGGGACATGGGGACATGGGGCTGAGGCAACAGGGAGGACCTGTCCACCCTTTTCTCTGGATTCCTTAAAAATCCCAATTTTCCCCATCTCCTGCCCCTCTCCACCCAGCTGGTGAGGAATTTCCCAGGTTGGGGATTTCAAGGAAGAGCCAAATCTGATGTCCAAACACCCAACCAGGGTCCATCCAGTGCTGTGTCCCCCTCACCCCAACCAGGGTCCATCCAAGCTTCCCCCGCTGCTCCCATGCCAACGCAGGGATGCAGGACCTCATCCACCACTCTGCACCAGCCCCCAACCTCCTTTCCTCACAAGATGAGGGGATTTCCCTTCCTCAGCATCTTCTCCTACATCTTCATTGGAGATCTGATGGCCAGTGGGTGACAGCCAGTTGTCCCTTTCCCCCTTGGCCCTAGGGGTGAGGATGGCAGCAGTCAGGGTTGGGGTCCACCACCGATGACTTGGTCATGGGGGTGGTTTGAGGCTCTACACACCTTGTCACCCCTCCCTCCTGGGGCCACCAAGCTGATCTGGCTCTGTGGCTTTGCTCTCCAGGTTATGGCCACGCAGCCCCCAGCACGGAGGGGGGGAAGGTCTTCTGCATGGTCTATGCCCTGCTGGGGATCCCCCTCACCCTCGTCATGTTCCAGAGCTTGGGTGAGAGGATCAACACCTTCGTCAGGTACCTCCTCCACCGCATCAAGAAGTGCCTTGGCATGAGGCGGGCGGAGGTCTCCATGGCCAACATGGTCACCATTGGGTTCTTCTCCTGCATCAGCACCCTCTGCATCGGGGCAGCTGCCTTCTCCTACTACGAGCACTGGAGCTTCTTCCATGCCTACTACTACTGCTTCATCACCCTCACCACCATAGGCTTTGGGGACTACGTGGCCCTGCAGAAAGACGAAGCCCTCCAGAACAAGCCCCAGTACGTGGCCTTCAGCTTCGTCTACATCCTGACGGGCCTGACAGTCATCGGGGCGTTCCTCAACCTGGTGGTGCTGCGTTTCATGACCATGAACGCCGAGGACGAGAAGCGGGACGCCGAGCACCGGGCTCTGCTCACCCGCAACGGCCAAGCCAGCACCATCCACCCCACGGAGCCCAGCCCGGCTGGATCAGCCGCAGCAGCAG